GGGAATAAGATTATTGCGTGAAAAAGAAGCGGTATATTAATTGCTGCCTTCTTAGCAAGCATGCGCTATCACACAAAACATAAGAAAAGTAGACAATGAACTAGCCCATTAGACAAATCTGTTTAATCATAGCAACTCAAGGTAAGCATATGTATCGAAACTTTACTGATGAAATGCAGAAAATAAATGAGAATTGAAGCGCTTCAATGATAAAGTGAAATCAGAATTATAAGATGACATTGGTTACAAAATTATTAGGTTATCATACTTGTAAGCATAAAGCACGGACGGCGCGACCGAGGAGTAGAGCACGATGTTATATTCGGCCCTAGCAGCGGATGTGAGGACCACTGAGCTTCCAAGGGGCACACCAACTTCTTCACCTGCAGAAGCTGATGTTAATGCAGCTGCACTTGGTCTACCAGACCGTCCCTGTTCGCCAGAGCCGTAAAAGGACAGCACAGGTTGTCTAAGAAGACGCATCTCAGATAAATAAGTAGTAAAATAGTTTTGGAGGCTAACGAGCAGATCACTCGCAACGTCATTGTCCAAATAGGCAGTCAGCCGGTTAGCTGGTGATCGAAAGCCTAAGTTAGGTTGTACATCACCTGAGTCAAGGAAAGGGTCATTATTAGAGAAAATAGCTTGGTTTCCAGATTTCTTTGAAGGTGAGGGCGCAGCCTCGTGTGGTGGTATTAACTCGACAGATGGACCGAAGAACTGCGTAGCGCGGGGTTGACGCAAGAGAAGATCGAGAAGGCCACTTGAGGTCTGTTCAGTGATCCACTGATAAGGTAGAAAAATACGAAAACATTTTGATCATCTCAAATTAAGAGCAGCTAAATGAAACAAGTGACTAGGGATTTTCATAGATGTCCTCCGCTAGCATTGGCATCGTATGTAGAAAATATAAGTAATGGCAATAGAGCATCCGTAATAAAAGTTTTGCACTTAAAGAGGACTGCTTCAAACGCCAGCGGCGCTTCAATTTTGTTAAAACATTCATTTTTAGTTAAATCTAGAAAGTTAGGGCCAACTTAAAGATAAATGCACCGGCAACTGTGGGAAATAAACTCGATAGGAATAAACAGCTAAATTCAAGTACGGATAGGAATGGAAATTAACAGGCTAATAAAAATTAAATAAAGCAAGTCGAATATATGATATGCTCTATAAAAATCTGGGTTAATAATCTTGCCAAATTAAAGAAGTATAACTTAATAGTTAAGATAAAAATGAGTCGCACGAACTGGCGGAAAAGAAGACAGAAAGGTATGGCTTAGCCAATAATCGAATAAAGGTAGCTCGGGAAAAATAGATCTTACCGATTGTGAAACTAACAAGGTATCTACAGTCCCGAACTGCGTTGAGTTGATATCATAAATGAGCCGAACTAAGGCCTCAGCAATGACACGAGCATTCCGAGCTAGAATATGGGGACTAACGCCAACGTCCGATTCAATTATGTCATAGCCGTCATCGGACCACCCAGCTCCAGGCAAGGTATCCAAAGCCGATCGGCGAAATTGCGAAGCACTTGCAAGATCGGGCCAGCTGCTAGAAAGCGTCATGCTAGCTAGACGATGGACAGCAAATCGTTCATGCTCCCAAGCAAGCAATTCATCGTTTAAATTAATCTTTTTGTGCACGACACGAACTGAATTTTCATTAGTCTGCAACGAATCTGAAGAGTATTGGTGGGCATCTTTGAAATTCTGGAATTTAATTATGAAAAAATATTTGTAATTCAACTACATTACTACCTATTTTAGGTGATATTAGAGTAAAAGGTCGAAAACTTTACCTTTGAGTGTAGTAAGTTGGAAAATTGCAGCTCTTTGATAAATTTATATCCCAAGGAGTCTTCTTTGGGGGTCCGAGAAACATGAGCAAACAAAGTTTCATTAAAGTAAGTTCCATCAGTCCCAGAAGAATGTACATATTTCCCCAGGCCCTCGAGACAAATAACTTGAACTACTATAATAAGAAATAATAAGTAATAACAAATTATGTAAAGTAATATTTACCTGATCCATTTAAATCGTTTAAGTTATTTTCAAGCCAATGTTTAGAGCCTAGATAGTTAAATTTGCCACCTCCGGTGAGCAAGAACAATAAGGAAAAACTAGTAAAGTCTAAAAAGAGAATAAGACATACTTCGGCTGAGTAAGAGAAGAATGATATAACCTGCTGAAAATTCGTGCTAATTCAAGCAAAATAACGACTCCACTACCGTTTGAGTCAGCCCCAAAAGATAAGGCCTGAGAACCAATAAAGTAGGAATGACTAACCGGAACCGGAGCGAAGGAATCATAATGCGCAACAATCGCAATTATTGGCGAATCTCTATTAGAGCCCATCAACTTCCCTTCAATCGTAAAGATTTCGTGATTAACAAATTCCATAGAGGGCGGGGCAGTTATTGAAAATCGGTAGCCAGTCGACCAAATTGCATTCATAAGAGCTTAGGTGATAAGAAAATCCAGAATATACCATAACTCCTTGAATGACCCTGGTCAACTTGGGTAATGTGCCTGACATTTGAGTATATATCTCTTAGTGCGCTGTTTTCCTTTACAAAATATATAGGAACACCAAACTCCTCGGAAATAAATTCTCGCTCTAAATGGAGAAAATGCTAACGCAAAAATATTAAAAAAAAGCATCTTACTCTTTTGGTAGTGTCATTCCAAGGGCCTGATGGTAATATAATGATGATACCACCTGAGTTACGAGAAGCAGCATCTTTTACAAGTTCAATAGTCACTTCAGAAAGACGCAATAATAGACACTTCCGTCCGATAAGACGAAATCCCAGGGTTTGAGCTTCACACGAGAGTGCGGCATGTATAGCGCCTGGAATTTATGGGAAAGCAAAACCTACCCAAGCGCGTTCCATGCAAATCAAAATGCTGAAGCCTGAAGGCAGCAAAGTCCTGAGCTGCCTTGGCTGGATTTATGGGAGAAATAAAAATCACAAGTGGAACAATAAAACAAATTGAATACGCGGCAATATTTGTGACGCCTTGAGCGACATCCTCAATCACCCTTGGCCACATGGATGGGAGCAAAGGGACCGCTGACAGAGGATACGGAGAACAAAACTTACGCTGGCTTATAAAATATTTAGATATTAA